CAGACACAGAGGCGATGGCATAAGCCCGCTTATATAGCTTTTAAGCAAAAGAGCGGGCTAAAAATGTACAACCCTGCATGATTAGTCGAAGTGACGGGCCGGAGGCCCGTATCTTTGTCCACATTTTTGCACCACCTGACTCGGGTGTCAGCGCCGCAGGCCAAGGTAGATGTATGCCAGGCGCGTCGCAGCGTAACAGTGTTTCGTGAGGTATCGCGAAGCCTGTTACGCGAGACGTGGTCTGGCGTACATCTACCTTGTTTATATTTGAAGAGTTCTTTCTTATGGGGCATTTCTGGAATTCTGAGACAAATATATCCGGAATAAAGTGGCGCGCAAGATGGTGGAAATGCCCCTTAAGAAAGAACTCTTCAAATATAAACAATTTTCAATGACTCTGTGGATCTCTCTGATGTTTTATAAATTATCAGAAAGTTGAACTAATACAGGAAAAGCTCACTTGGGCCAAATTTAGTCATTTTTAAATATTTTTGATCAGAAGTAAAAAGAGGCTAAATTCTAACGTTCAAGGGGTATTTTCCACCTTAAATTTCTGGGGGGCTAAGACAATTAAAACCAATAGCATTATAGTTCTGTCATTCTTCCTATAAAGGAGACTTTCACCGTTTTTGCCATGTATACAATTATTTTCGTGTGCGCCTTTGCCTCTGTAATTGGACGCTGACATGAGTGCTATGAGATTCAAGTCGAAGGGTATTGATTTTCCACTACTGGGGAAACTCCGCGCAGCACTAAAGGGACACACATATCACACATGACATGCATACGGCATTGTGGATGCCGAGCCACCCGACACGCTTGGAACTCTGCCTAAGAGTCGTTGAGCGTACACGAGTGTTGTTTGTTTTGTGTTCAGAACGTTGGTTCACCCCGTAAGTTTCCTCTTTAATTAACCCTACACTGTAATTCGAAGTGTGATATACTTTTCACACATTTTCGTGTGATAAAACGCCCCGTGTGATTCCCACGATTTATCACTCCTGGGGAAGTGATCAATTTTCATCACAAATTTTGTGTGATGACTATTGCAAAATAATGCGATGATTACGGATTTCCTACAAAACGGTGTGAATGCACATCGCACAAAACTGTGATAGTGTGATACATAAAGTATCGCTCAAATGAGTGATGGTCATCACAAATGTAAGCAATGAATTTAATCTTGTACTTTTCCTGCGATGATTATTACAACATCGTGCAATATTTCTGTATCACAGAAAACGTGTAGTCGGTATCGCACTCTGATTTACAGTGTATAGAACCAGTAACCTTATAACATAGACAATTGTCGGAGTTTTGTGCAACTGGCCACACGGATAACACAAGTTAGGATAAGCAATCCCAACTTACCAAAATTAGTCAAATTACCTTAGTTTTGATAGACGTGACCAGGTAAAAATAACACACGAAATTTGAAATTAATTTTACTGTCCACTGTGAAAAATATATTTGTACATGTACGATATATTTTGTAAGTTGCCATTTACAATACGAGTCGTACATGTACAACCT